GCAATAGATTTAGTATTATGCTGATGCCCGGCAATAGACTAGTTGATGGGCCAGGAAACAGGTTAGTGTTATGCTGATGTGGGTCTTCTGTGATAAGTGGGGGTCTCAGGTGCTTGATGCACCAAGTAATACCGTGTTTCCCCCAAAATAAGACCTACCCATAAAATAAGCCCTAGCAGGATTTCTAAGCATTTGCACTATATAAGCCCTACCCCGAAAATAAGACCTAGTGATGGGCGTGGCTATGCAGCCTATCTGCACAACCCATGCATTTAGTCAAGGAGTGGTAAAGAACTCGAGCAGCCCTTTTCATCTGCCCCATCATGACAGCTACTATCCCAGAGGTGACCGGAATGTGCAGGCAGCCCCACCAACAAGGCCACCTCTCTCCGTCAGGTCCCAGGCATCTTGCCAAGAGTCCTGCAATGGGCTGTATTCTGAAGCATCTATGATGAGAAGCCCACTGAGCTTGGTGACTGAGACCTACCATTCACATAAGCCCCACATTTGCTTCTGACTAAGTTTCCGCCAGCCCTCACTCTTCTGCAGAAAATGTGTCCTCTTCTCCTGGCTTCTTTGTGCTCACCCAGATCCCCCTGTATTTACTTAGCATGCCCTAGATGCAAGATCGTTTCATTCTCCAGCATGCCAGCCAGAGACTTGGAGAAAGTCTGCAGAGATGCTAGAGCTACTATTATAAATTAAATGTTGGGAACAGAAGAGACTCAAAGCTACTGAGATGTTTAGAAGTTAGTCACAGACTTATTGTGTTGAGTGATGAGGATTTCTTTCTTGAAATATTATGAAACAATGTACAAGTAGAAGGAGGGGGAAGCAGTAGATGGCATTGAAGTTTGAACTAAAACTGTGAAAATTCTAATTTGGTCATAATATATATATATATATAGATAACCTATGTCTCCTCTGATTATTAAATAAGCTTTTACTAGATACCCTAGTAATTTATAATGTGTATAAATTACTGGCTAAGGTACTACAATTCTCTATTCATTTATCAGCATTCATCACTCTAAACTCCAGGAAGGCAGGAGGTTTTCATAACAATTCTTCATTATCTATCATAGTGCCTACATATAGTAGGTGCTCAAAAATATCGGTTTAATGAATGATTTAGTTATACTTCTATTAGGCAGTAAATCCTTCACTTGTTAAGTAAAATGTACTTTTAGATTATAAAAATAATAAATACTAAATACAGAAGAGTATAAAGGAAAAAAAATTGATGAGAATCAGGCACATCCTTTTTATAATACCCTAATAAATATGTCTTTAAGTATCTATTGATTACTTGCCTACTTATTTATTTTAAAATTGCCATTGGTACACCTACCTTTTGTTTTGAAATGTTATCATCGAATATTATGCATATTATTTTAATTATTTAAATATTGCTCAAAAATATGATTTAAAAATCGTATACTGTATTTCTTCCTATGGCTGTGTCATAATTTATTTAACCAATCTAGTCTCCAAAGATACTTAAGTTATTCCCAGGTTTTGTCTTTACTAGCAGTATTAGAATGAATACCTTTGCGTGTGCGTGCATGTGTGTGCATATGTATATACTGAGTCAGTGGATATGATAAAGTCATCATAAACCAACCATTAACCAATTGTTGGCATGAAGAGATATAACTGTAAGTGTTGCAGCAGTGTGTACAGCTGCAATGCTGTGTACAGCGTTACAGCTCTTGTTACAGCTCTTATTCATTTGACCAGGGAAAGAATCCAGCGGCACACGAAGAGTTGGAGAACAGCCTTTATTCTACAGCAGGCTCAGCACACCTAGTGTTACAGCTCTCTTTGTGTCTTCCAATCTTCCGACCCTTCTGCTCCTTCTTTGCTCTCCTCCTGCTTTTATACCCTTGGTAGGGCTCAAAAAGCGTCCAATCAACTACAAGCTTTAACATCCAATCAACATCAAGCTTTAACATCCAATCAAAAACAGTGGGATTCAAAAATTACCCAATCAGGATCACGCAAGCAGCGTGGCTAGAAACAGGCAGCGGCACATGGGCCTGGGGGCATTCTGGCATGCGGGGTCCCAGCAGCAGGGCCCCCAGCGGCTCTCTGCCCTGAGGCCGGCCCCAGCAGTGTGCCCTCCAACTGTCCAGCGCAACGCCGTGGAGATGCGGAGCTACAGGGAGACAGCAAGCGACTGCGTCCTGGCATCTGACATTTTCCGCATCATAAGAAGAACTGAGCTAAGCTTAGAAATGATCCATAGCATAGAACTTAACTAGTCTGAACCAGAGCAAGTGTTCAAAATAATGAATAAATTTAGAAACAGAGATCATAAATCTAAAAGGGTTTATTAAGCATTTTTCTGGGTTTTTTTTTTTTGGTTTTTTTTTTACCTCTTGGGGACTTTCTGCCCCTCAGAGGTTTAGCTAATTCCTAGAAACAGCAAACGTTCCTTAGACTGCATCTTCCATATGCAAATCAATCAATCTAGAACCCAAATCCCCAACTACCTCTCTATAATGTTTTCACCCTCAGGGCCACTATTTCCCTAATCATGCCAGTCTCAGGGATAAACAACTGAAGACAGCCCCTGTAACCCAGAGCCCACTGCAATTATTCAAACTAGAATCTTAAACATACTTATTCTGCCTCTCCCATTCCTTTCCAGGAAAGCCTTCATACAGGCTTTTGCCCATATTTTCCCCTCACTTCCTCTGCCTCCCCTCCCACCCTGGTGCTGCCAGGTGTGGCATGGGGTACCTCCTGTGTCCAAGGACCTATAAGTATAAAGAACTTCTTCTTTCATCACAGTCATTTCCTTGTCTTATCTCGCTTGACTAAAACAAATCTCAGGCACCCTTAAAAGAAGGAATCATACCATGACTCCTGTCATAAAAATAGAAATGGAACAGAAATAATGGCCAGAAAACTATGCCTGCTCACAGACAAACATGTGTCGCATTGGAATGAGAACAGTGCTTGCAGGTGGGCCTGGAAAGACCCTATACCTTTGGCTGCTTTAGATGGCAGTTTTACCCCACACATTGAACCCGTGGAAGATTCTAACCCTTTTAAGGGTAACTTAAAGGCACCAAAATAAGACACGCTCAAGAAGATGCAATCTCCATTATTTTCCAGTGACCCCCAGTGCTTTGCACATAAGCAACACTCAATAAATGTGTTTAATGAATCAATGACGATGGATCCTGGCAGACCCCTACCTCCCTCACTATAATTCAATATGGGAAGGGAAGTGATAGAACTAGAACAGAGTACAGTAGAATCGCAGATTGGAGAAAGATGTGTCTTATGTGTATACTTAGCTCCATCCCAAAGCTTCCTCTCTGCTGGTCTTCCGGTGATCTCTCTACTCTGTGCCACTCAGGAGAAGAGTCCTTTCAGCACCAGTGTGTCCAGAGGTGGGAGAGGGGACAAAACAGAAACGACAGCCACTCCTGCCTGCCATCATGAGCCTTACCACAGAGGCTTTATTAAAGGACTTGAAAGTAATCATTAAAATGAGTCTTAGGGATTACCCTTGGATTTCCTTTATCCCTCCTTGCTCCTTTCCCCACAGGCAAGAATAATGAGTTGCTTGCATTTTTATCCTCAGAAAGCCAACGGAATTCTGAACTCTAAGGAAAGTACATTCCTTCAGAATTAGAAGAATATAGCAGATAAATTGTCCAAAGAAGAATCTGCCCAAATTTAGATTTTTGAGGCAAACTTGATTTATCTTAATACAATGGAATATTATAGTTACATAAAATGTTCGTTTGATTAAGGACAAAATTGGCTTAAACTTGAAGCAGTTTAGACTGTGAGGAGAAAGTCTTGAAAGATTATTGCGTTATGACAATGTTTCTCTCTTAGAGATTTGAAGTCTATATAGAAATTTAAAAAGAGATGCACTTTTAAACCTTCCAGAGGATGGTTTCAGTTGCACAGACTGTTTTTTAAACTACAAAACAAGTAATTTAAGGAGCTAGAAGCGTATTTTCTATCTAAGGCTAGTAGTCAACATTATAGTTATTATGCTTTAATATAAAATTAATACTGAGAAGTTGTTTTTATCTGCTCCTTCAATTATGTGTTCATAAAACAATATTTCTTTAAAAATATACAATTAAATTACAGTAATGACTCACCTTTATATTTCTAAAGGAAAGACCATGAAAAAAGCACTGCCTATAAGATCTACTTAAATCAAATGCCTCTGGCATGAAGTAGGTGTACAAAAAATGCTATTGAATGAATGATTTCTATTTGTTCACAAGCCATCTGTTTAATACCTTAGATAGTTTTTAGAAAGATTTATAATGTTTATGTGTTATATTGCTTACAAGTCTCTAGCTACTAAAAATTAGACTATATAGATACGTAGAGATATATCATTCCCATATTATGTCATATATTTATCAATTACATGTCATATATTTATCAATTATAATTACATTTATTTATGACTTACATTAGTAATTCCTGATAGTGTTTCTCCAATCTTTTCTCTCAGGTAAGGTCATCTTCTAGAAAATTCATTTAGGACTTCATTAATAGGATGATTTCAAAATCAATCAGTATCAGATGACAAATTCTTTAAGTTAAAGACAGACATGATGACTATGTGGTATATAGTCATATGTGGATGATTTGTGGTATATATAGTGTTAAGGGGAAGTAGAAGAGCAGGAAGACTAATGAGTATGGTCCGAAAAAGTCTATATTTTTTAAAAAGTTAATTATTTTATCAATCAAAAACGCATTGAAATATTAATGATCCAGTAGCCAAATAATTAAGAAAGAATGCCTCCTTTGTGTGTTGTATTCCTCCTAAGTATTAAATAATTGATGTTAATTTTTACAGTACATGATAATATCCAGTAATCTTAATAGCAAAAGCAAAGAAAGACAAAACAGCAAGTGTCTCACTGAGGTTGCTATGGGGATAGAATACAGAGAGAGAGGCAGTTTTTGTCATAAAACTGTACATAAAACATATGTACATGTGACTCCTGTTAAGAGAATAGGTGCCTTTCCTGTGCTATCCTATTATACCCCAGAAGCTTTCTGTTCTCAGGATGGGCCCAGACTCTCTCCTCTGCCATGTGGATGGGTAAGAGACAGAGGAAAAGAAACTGACGGTAATAGAGTGAGCTAAATTCAGACTTTGAAAAGTTAAATAAACAATTGAAGAAAAACAACTGAAATGTGTAAAAAAGAAGTTTGAGGAGTAATGTTGCCCAAAAGAGGAAAATATTTAGTTGTCTTTAGAAATAGCAATATTCCAGTCATAAAGCCCAGTTTTTTATTCCAATCAGTGACAAATCCTCAACTATATGGCTTTACTATCTCCCTCTTACACATCAGTAAATGAGTAGCCAAGCTATGTGAATAACGATTCAGACACACATTTGCATTATTGATTTCTTTATCATCTTTTATTTATTTTAATAAATGAATTGAGTATCTAATAGGTACTCATAATTGCTAATTAACCTTTTGCACTAGCGTGGTAATACATAATACATACATGTATATATATGCGTGTTTGTACATATACATACATTATATATATTTACTTTTTCATTATGCATGTATTAAATTCATCTTTTTCTATTACATTGACTAATTTAGTATTTGACAGTAAGTGTGTACTTTAGGACATAAATGTGAATATATAACAATATCTTACATTTGTAGGGTATTTTGGGGAGAATGGCTGCTGGAATTGAATGAGATGATGAACTATTTATAATTCCTCCCCAGAAAAGCAAACAAATCTCCTTCAAATCTTTCAAAACTTAAATTGCATTCTGGTTCCCCACAAACTCAATATAATAAACACTCATTCCCTTCCCATCTCCTATCCTTCCCTTCCTCCCTCAGAGTTCTTTATTCCTCTGCTAGCAGCAGTACACATTTCTACTTTCAATAACATTGTGCTACATTTTTCTGTTGATTGAAATACTCTTTGGAGACTTTCTTTGAACTCCTCCTTTTATTTTCCCCTTTGACTCTTGGTTCAATTTCCTCTGAGATCAGATTTTCTGCTCCTGGGCCTCCTTAGTGTGGCTTTCCTGGGGAACTCTCTCTTCTGAGAGTGGGAGGGGGGCCTTTTCTCTCTGTCCTCTCTCCCCACTTCCCTCTCCTATGGCCCTCATACAAGCCCATTTTTACTAAAATAGTCCCTGCTTGTCTCCTTCCTCAGCAGGAACTATCTTTGCAACTCCCTTGCCCCTGACTTGCCTCACTCTAGGTATTGTTCACCCTAGCTCTTTTATTTTGTTATTCAGCAATCTGTTCCATCCAAAACCTGAAATCCACCTTATTCATTTTCCTTTCCATGTCTTTTAGCAAGTGATGCCTTTCAAAGCTTTAGTCTTTCCTGCATCTCCATCCACTGAAGCAGGTGTGACCAGCTCAACTGTTTTCACAGCTCCTTTCTTTCTGGGCCGGTGCAGCTGGGCCCATGGGACTATCTACATCCCCGGCTGGCACAATTTCCGGAAGTTTGCATAGATATGACCTTTCTCATTACAAGAGTTACACACCATTCCATTACTGCAGCAGGCCCAGCAATGTCCTTGTCCTCTGCACCTGGAGCACATTTTCTGACTGCCTGGTATATTCAGATGCTTTCTTGAGCCACCTCCAGTGTGTTTTTAGCCCTTGTCTGTAAAAGCTTATCATTAGTTAATCTTAAATAAAAAAGTCATACGTTGCAGATGGTTAACCCTCCCTCTCCCTATTTCAAACTTGTGTAGTCTATTGGAATCCTAAACATGCAGGATGTTTTCACAGAATGCCATGAATTTGAAGAGAGGGGGCTGCTTGCCTCCTGGTGGAAATGGCCAACAAACATATGAAAAAATGCTCAACATCTAATCATCAGAGAAATGCAAATCAAAACCGCAATGAGATATCACTTAACTCCAGTAGAACGGCTTTTATCAAAAAGTCCCAAAGCAATAAATGTTGGTGTGGATGTGGAGAGATAGGAACATTCGTATTCTGGAAAACTAGTACAGCCTCTATGGAAAGTAATATGGAGATACCTCAAAGAGCTACCCGTAGAACTACCATTTGATCCAAGAATGCCATTACTGGGCATCTACCCAAAGGGAAAAAAAAAAAGACATTCTGTAAAAAAGACATCTGCACTCAACTGTTTATAGCAGTACAATTCATAATTGCAAAGATATGGAAACAACCCAAGTGCCCATCAGTACATGACTGGATTAATAAAATGTGGTATATGTATACCATGGAGTTCTACTCAATCACAAAAAACAATGGTGATCTAGCACCTTCTATATTATCCTGGATAGAGCTCGAGCCCATCCTACTAAGTGAAGTATCCCAAGAATGAAAAAACAAGCACTGCATGTACTTACCATCAAATTGGTACTAAATGACTTAACTAATCAATACTTAAGTGCACATGTAGAAATAGCATTTATCGGGTGTCAGGCAGGTGGGAGAGGATAGGAGGGGATGCATATATTCACACCTAATAGGTGTGGTGCACACTGTCTCGGGGATGGACACACTTAAAGCTCTGACTCAAGTAGGGCAAAAGACAATATATGTAACCTAAAGATGTGTACACACATAATATGCTGAAATTTTTAAAAAAAGATTTATTGGAACAGTCACACTCCTTTGTTATATGTTGCCTTTGGCTGCTTTTGTACTATATTGGGAGAGTGGAGTAGTTTCAACAGAGACCATATGGCCTGCAAGTTAAAAATATTTACTATCTTGCTCTTTATAGAAAAAAAAATTGCCAACCCCTGATATAGTGCCAAGGCTGTGTTGCTCTATTTTCTTGCCATTAATTTTTTTTTAATCTCTCATTCCAACTTCATTTCTTCTATTTTTCTGGTTGATTTCAGCGATTCAGATGTTTGAATTCATTTGACCCTGTGCACTAGTATATATCCTTATCATGATGCATTCACTGAAATCTCCATAAGGCCCTTTGTGTAATCTTGGTACTTTTTCTACTGACACAGGCATCAAAATCAGTCTAATTTCTCTGTGGATCTAAAGATTCTCATCAACATCCTTACTACCTGGGATTTTAGTTACTGAAGATAATGCTCCTTGGGTGTTTACTGTATTCGTTCAGAATTCATTCAATCCTGCTCTGCCAGTTGCTTCCAATTTTTGTCATGGTGATGCTCCTGCTTCACTGAAATTCTGTAGGTTTTAATATACTCTCCCCATGTATTTCTTTCTTCTGTGTCAACTGCTATATGAACCTATGGGAGCTAGCATATTGAAATTACCTTATTTCTTTCCCCTTTACCTCTGCCTTCCTATTTTTGTAGTTTTTGTAGTCCTACTACAAAAGGATATGGCATCCTCATTATATACAAACACTTATTATATTATATACAAACACTTATTCATATACCTTAATCTACCCTATCACACTTTTTCAGGCATCTTTGCCACTGATCAACGTCTCAGATGATATGAAAAACAGGTAAGTATCCCCGCATGGGTTTCTTTGTTTGTTGCTCCTGTCACTTCCTTTTACAGCTACAGCCTACTTCACATGCGCCTCCTCTGATCACTCCTTCTCCCTCCCCCATCCTGTCCTGCGTGCAACAGTCTCCAAGGGTAAAGTGTCCTCACTTTACTGATATGATACGGAAGAACTGATAGGGTAATTGAATTGTCCAAGCTACACTTTGAGTAGTTTTGGTTTTGTTTTGTTTTATTTCATCTTCTCTAAATTCCTCTAAGAAGTATGCCCTGGAAAGAAAAGAAGGGAAGAGGAAAGAAAATGTGCTGATTCCCTAATGTGTACCAAGTACTTCTGGTCATTTACATAAACATTATTGAATTAATTTCCCAACACCATTATTACTTCTATTGAGGACTTAGGCAAGTAGATAACTTGCCTTGGGCTCCATAATAAGATTACATTACAGAGATTTGATCACCCAAGAGTTTGACTTCAAACTCCATGATTTTTTAACAGCTTTATTGAGGTATAATTATATACAAACACTGCACATAATAAATTAATAGTTGTTTTTTGAGTTCAGGCATATGCATATACCCATAAAACTAATAATAAAGAACATAATCAAGAGAATGAAGATTTCCATCACCTCCAAACTGCCTCTTTGTTTTATTTTGTTTCTGTGGTAAGAAAACTTAACATGAGATATTCCCTCTTAACAATATTATTAACTTTAGGCACTGTGTTGTACAGATTTCTAGAATTTGCTCATCTTACAGTTGAAACTTGATACATATTAAACAACTTTCTATTTCTCCCTCTCCTCAGCCCCTAGCAACCAGCATTCTATTCTCTGCTTCTATGAGTTCGATTACTTTAGATGCCACATATTATGCAGCATTTGTCCTTCTGTTACTGGCTTATTTTGCTTAGCATAATTTCCACCAGATTCATCCATGTTTCCACTGGTGGGAATGCAAAATGGTGCAGCCACTATGAAAAATAGTATGGAGCCTTCTCAAAAACATTTAAAATACAACTACCATGTGATCCAGAAATCTGTCTTCCTGATATATATCCCCAAGACTTAAAATCAGTATTGTGAAGAGGTATCTGCACTCCCATGTTCACTGTAGCATTATTTTCAATAGCCAAAATATGGAAACAACCTAAATGCCCATCATGGATGAACACATAAAGAAAATATGGTATACACATGCAATAAAATATTATTCGCAATTTAAAAAGAAGGAAATCCTGCCAACGCCCATAATCGTTTACACTATAGAAAGTTGTTCTGCATTGTTACCTACCTTTATATTTACTCTGTGTGTCTTGCTTCCTAAATAGGACAGACACTATGTATCATCCATTTAATTAACTACCATGGAATTTGGGAAAGAGTCCTGTACATTGGAATTACACATATATCATTTGCTGATTGGCTGCCTTACTGTTGTAATGTAGCTTGCATTGCTATATTACATCGCTTCGAATAAAGAAGCACGCAAACAAAACAATCAACAGCCATAAAAACAACACTGAAAAGGAATGATACCATTTCAGTCTCGATACCAGCCAGAGAGGCATGGCACCTTCAAACTGAGGATTTGGTGAGAGTTTAATTAAGGAGCTTTTAATAGGATTCAGAAAGAATGGGATGGTCAATTTAGGCTCATATTAATGAGATGCCATATCCAGGCTCAAGTATACAGGCAGTTGTGAGGGATGGCGGGGCAGAGGGATCCATGGCATCAATTATATTGTCTTAGGTCCTTACTTACTGTCTTGAGCACGTGCTCCCTGGTCCTGGGTGAAATGTCATGTTTTTAAGTGAAGCATCTTCTCAAACATCATGGAACATTTAAACATATTTATTTTATATCCAGATAATTATGTAAGTTGCATTACCTTTCTAGGGAGCTACATCCCTGGGAAATGAATTTATAGATTGTAGGTTTCTTTACCTGAAGCAATCCTAAATCTTCATGCTTACAGCATTCTATTCCCTTTGCCTATTTACCAGGAGTCTGATGATCATGTTTACCTGTTGATTAGACCAGATCTCCTGACTTCATGACTTTTCCAGGGAACATCTTATCATTAAAGGGAGAGAAATGGGTCAGAAGTCAACTGCCTAATTCCTTTCTTCCCCCAAACCAGCCAGGCTAGCCACACTGCAGGGCCACTAACTACCCCTGCTATAAAGGAACATGGAGAGGGACCTGGATGGAGCTATAGCCTTCCCAAGAGGGAAGCAGATAATGAGGCAGGGAGGGAGTTGGGGAAATAGACCTATATTAGACTATAATAGACTTCCTCCTACCCTCAAATTTCCAGGAGGTGCCTCCTTGGCCTGGAACAACCAGATATCAGGAGGCAAAGAAGCCCATTGTTACAGACCACACAGGCCTCGGGGCACAAAGTAGGGTGGAGTTGACCTTACTAAACTGCAGCAAACCACAAACTTTAGGACTTTCATTGTTGTTGACCAGCAATTGAAAAATGACCCACTTCTCATCTATTAGGGGGATTTTTACTACCTTTCATTGTATTGCAACCCAGGGTTTAAAGTTTCTTAGATCTTGTGAATTCATCCTGTTGCCATTTAAATACTTCAATTACTAAAGAAGTATAGCAGTGAGTCCTCACTTTTTATTATACTACCAAAGCAATAGATAATTGAATAGTAAATGGGTTACATATTTATCCTTCTGTCTCACACTTACAAGCTGTTTTGAGTATAAACGCTTTGTTCCAACTACTAATTGTCCTTTTGCAAATTTATTTTTTTTATTTTTGTTTCAAAATATTAAAGAGGAACAAGTGATATTGTTACATTAATAAATTGTACACTACTGAAGTCAGGGCTTTTAGGGTGCCATAGCCAGAGTGCTGTACATTGTATACTGTAGTTAAGTTTTTATCCCTTACTCTTCTCTGTCCCTTCCCTCTTCTTAGTTTCCAATGTCCTTTACAAGAGTGGTCCCCAACCTTTTTAGGAGCAGGGACCAGTTTCATGGAAGAAAATTTTTCTACAAACCTCAGAGAGTGGGAGGGATGGTTTCAGGATGATTCAAGTATATTACATTTATTGGACAGTCAAACCTCTCTGCTAATGATAATCTGTATTGGAAGCTGCTCCCCAGCGCTACCATCACTGCCTCACCTCTACTTCACTTAGAATAATGTTCTCCAGTTCCATACAAGTTGCTGCGAAAGACATTATTTCATTCCTTTTTCTTGCTGAGTAGTACTCCTTGATATAAATAGCACATTTTCTATATCTACTCACAAATCAATGGAAACTTAATTTGGGGGAGGGTCACACCACTATGGTTCTTGGTGGCTCATGGGACCATGGCAGCTGGACAGCTTGTTGAAGTGCCATGACTGGGCAGCTTGTCAGTCTGTGGCATCTGGGTGGCTCATAGCTGGTACAGCCAGGGAAATGAATGGCTCCTTCCCTGTGCAAGTCTTGCTGTGGTAGCTCCTTTGGTGCTACTCAGGTGGCAATGGTGGTAAGAGCCTGATGGTGGCAGCATATGCTGTGTGATGGGTACTTGCTTCACTTTGATTCCCTATGGCATGGTGGTAGGTGTGCATGGCACCAAGTCACAGTATATATGACAGCACTTGCCCTCCCAACTCTCTCCTCTGTCTGGCAGGGACAATGGGGTTAGGGTGCTCTGGGGCCGAGTGCTCATCATGGCATCAGTTGCAGCAACCTGGGATTGGAAGCCAGTGAGTTCCTGTTGTGCATGATCTCCTGTGTAATGATACTGCACAGTCTCCAAGAAGCTCCTTGATCAGTTTGGAGGCCTGCCATGATGGAGGGACCCACCCTCTCACAGCTTGGGTTGCAGTGTCCAGATGCGTAGTGTCCAGGGTTCTCTCCTCTGACCCTTCCCCAGATGTGGGCACTTTCCCCAGCTACCCTCCAATCTTGCTGTGTGGATTACCCTGTCTTCCTTTTCTTCACTTTAGGTGTCTCCCATCACTCCTCTGATGATTCACAATGCTCTCTCCAAGAAGTCCATCCATAGGTGAACATCTACTTGCAACTTTCCCTCCTCTCCTAGAGAGTGGCATTTGTGGTCTTCTGTTAGTCCTCCATCTTGGCCCCTCTCCTCTTTTTTATGCAAATTTAATGACAGAGTTATGAATCATAGAAGAGATTGGAGATGGTCAGTAAGACAATTCATACTTTTTGAGGACCTGTAAACAAGGCCCTTTTCTAGGCACCATGTGAAAAAGAAAATGATATCTAGAGTCAGATAACATGGGTTTAAATTCTAGCTTTTCCCTTTATTTATGATGAGATTTTATTCTTGCTATTTAACTTCTAAGCCCCCTGTCTTCACTGCTTAAGAGAAGTAATTTTCATTTCTACCCTCTATGAATAAAAAAGTGTTCTGTAAACTATGATGTTATACAAATATATATGTCGGCTTTGGGCTTTAAAATATGGAAAAGTATGGTCTCTTAATCTCATGGAAATCCAAATACTGCCTAACCACTTCACTTAGAGCTGGTTTGCTTTTGTTCAGACCCTGATGACCCTGGCAGAGTAGATGGGAGAAGTCAGTGAGCCCTCAGTGAGGTCATCATGCTTTTAAAATAGGCTTAGATGAAAAGTTTCTTGAATCAAGCCACGCCACTGCCCACCCATCCCTGGAGACCTGCTGGCATAATAATAAGGGAACCTGGCTGCCCTCAAAGTTAAATCAAAACCCTTTATACTTCCTCCATAAAAGATTGAGATATGAATGCCTGAACTAGACTTTTCCTTGGGGAGTAAGCTCTGCATAGATCAGAAAAAAAAAGAAACACTAGAAAAAACATAAAGCAAAAGTTAAAAAGTCATTTTACCAGAAATAAATCATTTTTTCACTTTCCTGGGTGGGCAGATCATCAGAAAGTTTTATTCGTCTATAATTTTATCTTCTGGGCTTTCATTCTCTCAAAGTCTGGGTAGTTTATTCATGTTCAACTATCATTAACCCAACAAAGTCACAGCTGCCACTCTGAGACCTCTGTTTAATGAAAAAATAAACTGAAGGCATTTGGGGAAAGTATTTTAAATGGAATCTCATTAATTTGTTGTTTCAGAAAGCAGTCACCATTAGCAATCACTCAATTGCTTCAAACAGTGGAGAATTTTTATGCAATCCAATTTATTATGCCCCCTCTCTATGGGAAGGGGCGAGGGCTAATGTCATAACTTGCCTTATCATTCTGACTATGCTGCAACATTTCCTGGAAAACTGGAGACATTTATATTCTTTTCTTTTATAATCTACTTAGGAATTATTTCATGTTTTATTTAAGCTAGAAAGTTGTCTATAATCTAATACACAAAGAATAGCTGCCTCACTGGGATTCTTCCAGTGACTTGATCCTTCCTCATAACATTCATATCACCTAAGAACTATACATAAGTACAAATGTTAAGTTCTAATCTTATATTCCTGGTTTTGACTCACTTCTCCCAAAACAACCTAACCTATAGATTCTGAAAGTGGCTATTTTAAATCCAGTTACCCTGAAGCAAGAATTTTCCTGTTGGTAGCTTATTTGTAAGGTGATCTTAGGAAATATAGGTGAAGGATGGCAAAGAGTTAGAAAGAGAAAAGAACAAGCCAATAAAGAGCTCATGATTGAGCTAGTTTTCCCTGTGGGCTACTGTAATAAAGCACTAAGAGGATGCCGAGAAGCTTACCACTTAAAGAAAGAAGGCTAAGTTCTTATTTGGTAGAAGGTCATCCCTCACCAGCCTCCCCAGCCCTTTTGGGCTGGACCTGAATTCAGGCTGATCTGATTCCCATGATTTCAGAGAAAGCAGAGAGATAACACAGCAATGTCAATTCTACCTGTGTTGAAATCAGGCACCAAGGGGAAGAGGCAAGGCACCCCTGCTACAGGTCCAGCATGAGTATTTAAGAAGTATTGGTAGCTGCTTATGGAACAGAAAACCACATTTTATTTCTCTTGTGTTTCTTTTTGTCTCTTTTCAGCTAATGGAGATGCATGTAGTATCATTCGAAGCCATAGTTTTAAAAACATTGCACTATGCACTAGACAAAGCAATGTTGAGTTTTAAGTCCAGTTGTGAGCCTATACAATTGTGTAATATCATGCATGGAAAGGTCTCAGATTTTTTTCAAAGAGCCCTGTGGAGATTATGTGTTTACATGACATAAATGTAAAGTAGAAAAAAGTCATCTTGGTGCCCTTGCTCTTCTCTCTCTCTCTCTCCTCCCTCTCTCTCTCTCTCTCTCTCTCTCTCTCTGTCCCTCTCTCTCTCCCTCCATTGCTATTTTCACCTCCAATTTTAGAAGCCTTATTTTCCAAATTATTCTTTCTTTTTTCCTCTCAACATCTTTATTAACAATAGATTTATTCAACTCATTTTAATTAAGGTGTGGGGCTTGCATTTAGGTAGAACATAAGAAGTCTTAAACCAAATGGGTCAGATTTTGTTTGTGAAATATCAGAGTTTAACAGACTTGAGAGAAATGTAGGAGACTACAGGTAAATTGCCTACTGATGGGGACCTAATCTCATACTCTAGTTTCAGGTCAGAACTCATGGAAACTCCATTCCCCAATGCTACATATGTTTGAAAAATTGTTCTAAGTTACTTCCATTTTTATTAAAAAATGTATAGATATAATATCTGGGAAAATGCATTCTTTCTCTGATAATTCTTCAGATATTGTTTCTGTTTGCTTGCGTTGTATCTTTCTTTGATGAAATGTGAGATTTTCACACTCTTCTTCAATTATAGCACTTGATTTTATTTTTGTTTTGATGGCTATCGAATCTTATTTTTCTGCTTTATGGAAACAACTTTACCTGGAGATCCCCTGGTGTATTTTATCCAATTTTGTTATTATCGATAGTATTATTATTATTTTCCTAACATAAATATGGTTTGCTCTTTCAATCTGCAAATTCCGGCCTTCACTTAGTGTCTAGAAAGCTTTCCTCAAATGCGTCTGTGAACATTTTCTCTATTTTATTGTTGTGTTCTCTTCTTTAGGAACACCAGTCAAGCTATTGCCGATTTTCTATTTCTCTCTCACTTCTATCCTGCTGCCCCCCACTCTATAATTCTTTACTTTCCATTTCATTTTTTTCATTTTCACAAGTATTCTCTCCATTTTTCTGGTCATGTCTTCAGATATGTTTCTGGAATAGTCTTATCTTTCCTTTGCATTTTTCCCTAAACTCATCCAATTTACTCTTCCTCTTTTACTACTATTTACTACTACTCTTCCTCTTTTACTACTTCCTCTTTTACTACTATTTCTTTTTTTTATTATTTCAACATATTATGAGGATACAATATTTAGGTTACATATATTGGCCTTGCCCCACCTGAGTTAGAGATTCAAGCGTGTCCATTCTCCAGATGGTGCACACCACACCCATTAGGTGTGAATGTACCCATCCCCTCCACCCCTCTCCCATCTGCCCAAAACCCTATGAATGTTATCCTATACGTGCACTTAAGTGTTGATCAGTTAAAACCAGTTTGATGGTGAGTACATGTGGTGCTTGTTTTTCCATTCTTGTGATACTTCGCTAAGTAAAATGAGTTCCAGCTCTATCCAGGATAATACAAGAACTGCTAGATTACCATTGTTTTTGTGGCTGAATAGAACTCCCTCATATACATATACCACATTTTATTAATCCACTCATGTATTGATGGGCACTTGGGTTGTTTCCACATCTTTGCAATTGTGAATTGTGCTGCTATAAGCATTGTAGTGCAAGTGTCTTTTTTATAGAATGTCTTTTGTTCTTTTGGGTAGATGCCCGGTAATGGGATTCCTGGATCAACTTGTAGTTCTGCTTGTATCTCTTTAAGGTATCTCCATATTGCAAGAGGTTGCACTAGTTTGCAGTCCCACCAGCAGTGTATGAGTGTTCCCATCTCTCCGCAATCACACCAACATTTATTGTTTTGGGACTTTTTGATAAAGGCGATTCTCCCTGAAGATAAATGATATCTCATTGTGGTTTTGATTTGAATTTTCCTGATGATTAGAGATGTTGAGCATTTTTTCATATGTTTGTTAGCCATCAGTCTATCTTCTTTTGAAAAGTTTCTGTTCATGTCTTTTGCCCACTTATTAATGGGATTGTTTGATTTTTTTTTCTTGCTGATTTTCCTGAGTTCTACATAGATTCTAGTTATCAGCCCTTTATCAGATGCAGAGGAGAACTGAAAGGAGAAAGGCCCCCGGTATTAGCATTTCTTCTGTGAGACATTGCACTTCTTTCAGTTCTCACTTTAAAAATGCCAATCGTTCTCTATTTTTTTAATTTTGTGGAAATCTTTTTATAATTTTGCTTTTTCACTGGCAAAATAAAACTAGAATCCAAATATTATAAAACTGATTTTATTTTGTTAGTGTACATATTCTGGTATATGTTCTATATCTGTCTTTGATATTTCAGGTAGCTTTTTCTTTCTTTTTATTTTATGTTTTCTTCACAAGCTATTTTTATTTATCTTTTAATATTTTAATTGAAATATGATATGCGTATCATATTTCATAAAAGTTGTAATTTGATTAGTGTTGACAAATGCATATATTCATTAACTAAGCCCCCATTAAGATACAAAGCATTTCCATCACCACAGAAATTTCCCAATTGTCCCTTGATAGTCAATTCCCAATTTCTTTCCAGAGGCAACCACTATTTTGATTTATTACATCATAGATTAATTTATTCTTGAACTTCATAAAAATGAAATTATACAACATATTCTCTTGTGAGTCTGATTTTTATCGTTCAGCATAATTCTCTTAATTCATCCTTGTCGCATGCATTAGTAGTTCATTCATGTTTATTGATGAGTCGTGTTTTACTGTATGGGACACTCAACAATTTGTTTATCTATTTTGTTACTGATGATGGACATCTCAGTTGTTTACAGCTTGAGGATATTATTTTAAAAACTGCTATGATCTGGTTATTTTTTATTATTACTCATTAAATGGAAGTATTTTCTATTGGTTGATAGTTCAGAAAATAACATTGAATAAAGTGTTGGTCACAGGAGCTTAAGAAAGAACAGCAAGGCTGCTTGTAATCCACAAATTATCTGCTCTGTTTTTTCAGGCCAGCAGCCTGCTTCTTACAAAGATGATGTGCCCGCAGCTTTCTTCATTCTTCTCTGACGTTCTTGACACTCTATGACATTTAAAAGTGCTCAGGTACTTTCCAGCATTCATATTTGTCTCACCAAGCTTGTTATTTTAAACTACAGTCATTGGTTTGCCCCTCAAATTATGACTTCCTTGGGAAATCTGTGCTTCACCTGCTCTATGGGAGAGAAGAGTAAACATAATTAACTTTGAGTGCTTACTATGTGGCAGCTCCTATTCCAAGCATAGTCTGCATGTAAGGACGCAATTAATTTTCACAGCGACCACATGAGGTACCCAGCAATTATACTCAGTTTACATATGAGGAAACTGAGGCACAGAAAGTGATGAGTAAATTGCCCAAAGTTCCCTGGCTAAGTGGTAAAAGGGGATTTGAATCAAGCATACCAGCCCTCTTGATAACGCACTGCCACTTTGCAGAGGTTTGTATTACAATTTGTATAATGTTTGGGACCTCTTTTTTATAAACTATATTTCTGAAAGATGGATATGTGCTTTTTTCCCTAAAGATAGAGTTTTATTTCCTATTTCTGTCCATTCTTTGTGTTATACAATGCCAAGAAAAAGACAGGGGAGAGGCAACTTTAGTCTGCCATTGCTAATACAAAGTCTTCAGAATTTATTTTAAATGGTACCTTGAATTCAATGGGGTGTTTTTTCAATCACTAAAAATGGGCATTTTCTTAACCCTCTAACTGAGTCCATGTATTCTGTGTACAGATATTGGTAAGTTAAAGCCTCTGGCAGAAAGAGAACTAATATGGCTGTTGTGTGCGTGTGTGTGCGCGCTCATGTGTGCGTGTGCGTGTGTGTGCGCGTGTTCTTATGCTTATCTCTAAGCCAGCAGATGCCACAATGTAGCAAAAATTCAGAAAAGTGAATCCATCAGATCTACTTTATATTCCTCCTGGTTTTATATTTTCTCCAAACCTGGTGGGCCACCAGCTGAACTCACTGAGGACTGTGAGCAGAGGGCGCGGAGAGAGGGGTTTGAACACTGTCACTGAGGAAAGAACTAATGAGGGTTCCCACACATCAGCAAAATGGGTGAGAGCAGGAAGAGCATCTTAGAATAGAAATAACCCACAGGCCAGACTTAAGATTCTGGATTCTACTCCTGGATTGACTATCATCTTATAGGGTACACATTGATTTTATCTCTGCTCGCTATACAACATGAGATTGATGTCACTTGTACTACCTAGTTTACAGAAATCATGAAAGTTTACAGAAATCATTAAATATGGCATCAGATATAAAAAAATCTTTAGGAAAAACAAAAGTTTTCATTTTCAAAGATTTTTCAAATACATTGAAAGCATTTTCAAATACATTGTCTTATTATGGCTCCATAAAACACCCTATGAATTAGAGAGACATAAGTAAAGGAATCCTTGATTTATGTGACACCACAAAGATAAAAATGTTGCATATGAATAATTAACTGATTCTTACTTATTTACATGATGCAGCCTGCCCTGTAAAGGGAAAGCTACTAATAATACGTATTGAGAGTCTACAATGTGCCCAGCGTTCCACATATATTATGTGAGTAACTCTCACAACTATGTGATGAGACAGGCACTGTTGACCCCATTTTATTGCTGAAGAGATTGAAGTCAGTTCCAAGTACATCAAAGGAGTAAGTTGTACGGCCAGGATGTGAACTTAGTTTTCTGTAACTACAAAATTAGCCCTGTTTCTAGTACATCTTGATTTATGATTTAATTTTTTCCTTGTAATAATAGAATTTCAGCTTATTCAGGTCCTCTAATTTTCTTCAGACACCAGAGAAATTATCTTTTCCCTCTTAGATCATCATTGAAGATCATTTTCAGTGTCTTTGTCATCGAAATCTTTCCAAAGAAAATGAATGAAGCAAAACTTCATTCTTATTATTTTTGACATAAGAAAACTCAGAATCAAAAGAATTCTATAATAGGACAAACCATCTTTGCGAAAATGTTAATATGGTCCCTATAGTGGTTTACTTGATAGGCGTGGTATTTCTTTAAATGCCAAGCTCATCTGCAACAAGGCAGGAAATGCCTCATGCTTCTCTGCATCATAATACAGGGATCTTCTTTTTCCCCTAGTATAACTCTTACCGATGCCAAAACACCTCTAGCATTATAAATATAATTTCCTTGATATGGGGTTAAATTCTCATGTTCCTCAGAAAAACAAATGCTTGTTTGCACAAAGTATACTTATTTAATAAGTGACATAGGAAAGGCCACCACAGGGGATAAAGTTCTCATGATCACATAACAGCTGGCATTGAATGGCCCAGAGTCCCCCTAGTTCATGGATACATGGCTCATTTCCCACTGAATCATAGATGACAGAGTGGAGGAGAACCTCAAAAAAGTCAGGCTGAAAACTAACGTTGCTACAATGTTTCTAAATGCAAGAAGGAACCAAGAGGAGACATCAACTTCTGTTTAGGGGGATGGGATTTCTTAAAATGGTAGGAGATCATTCAACCTCAAACAATTGGACTTAGGACCACATGAAGGCAAAGGAGGCCTGGGAAAGGGAAGGGCACACAAGTTACAAAATAGCCCTCTATGAGATGAACTTAGGGATGGGACCATAGAACCACCAGTTCACACTTTGTAAATGAAGATTTTAGTAAATTTTGTAATTGAGGAAGCATATTGCAAGCACTTACTGAATGTTTAAGATGGGATTTTTTTGTAAAGCTTTGCCAAAGAGGTTCATAAAAAACGATGCTGATTGTTTGCAAACTAAAACAGAGCTATAACACCACTCAAAGTATTACATTTGTTTACCTTCCATTCAAGTCTTGACCAAAAGCATAATTCTCTTCTTAATAGCCTTTTTGTTTACTATATGAAGTACAACACAACGCTGCAATTTTCAAAATTGGAGCTGCTCAAGAAGTCATTAGCATGCAACTAAAAATGTCCTCTTTGCCAAATATATATATTTGTAGATTCAAAAAATATAGTACAAGCTAACCCAAATACATGGCAAAAATTTAACCGTATATTTGTATATTGTTGTACATATTATCTTCTAATTACTTATTTCAGAGATTTCAGTTATATAGGCTTTATATTCTTATACACTAAGAAGCATGGCTATACAACACAAGTTAACCATCCATTACTGGACATAGCAACTGTCAGCTAAAGTGTTTTAAATCCATGCATCATAACCGATTTATAAAGAGCAACAGTTTTCAAAATTGTGGGATAATGCAACTCAGGCTATTTTCCTGTGAATGGGATGGGGACATTTGTCAGAATATATCCCTGATATGAATGTACCAGCAATTCCAAGATCAACAGAATGTTTGTCATTAAAATACACAAAGTAGTGGCAGGGTACAGCAGCAAAATTTTCCCTAAGTTTACTGTCATAGGCCTGAACTCTAGTCTGTTTATAACACTTACTAACCCTTTGCCTTAGAGAAAGTCACTATCTTTCCTATGCTTCAGTTTCCATGCCCAGAAAAGCAAATTTTTTCTACTCTTGGTTGGTCACAGACATTTCACATGGTCCAACTAAACTAATAAGTAAATTTGCCCTACACATTATTATAGTATTAGAAATATGTTCAAGTTGAGAAAGGGATATTCTTTATTCGCCAAACTATCTAATATTCTTCATGAATTCCATGATCCTGTACTCTGTTCTACATTATTATGAGGAAGATACTTATTGACAAAGAATCACACTTCTGTGCTTAGAGCCTTGCACCTGCAAACACGATGAATAGAACCACACTGCTTGCAGGTGCAAAGAACCAAAGGCCATTGGATACAGGATGTGCTTGGTGATGCCATGGACATTAATCAACTTATTTATCTGAAGAAAGCAATACAAAAATTAGACATCTAAAGTACACTCTGTGGAAAATAAAACAACCTTCACCATTTACACACAGTGGTATAGTCAGTATGCAGAATGTTTCTTATTGAGCAGATGCTTCTGCTATGAGAAACACGGGAAATGCATAGCGATGGATCTTAGAATTTGTTTCTTTTAAACATATTTAGTGGGAAATTGAACTAGTGACAGTGAGGTGAGATCATTACCTTAATGGCTATCAGAAAAAGCAACAGATAGAAGTGCTTAAAGTGAAAATTCTTATCAATTCCCTGAAAGATTAAAATTAAAAACAAAAACAAAAAAATGATTATCAAAACAATAGCTAACATTTACTGAGCTCTTTCTCAGTGACAAAAAACAAAGGCTTCATATATATTGTCTCTTCTGCTCATGACCACATCTCTATGAAGTTGAAATTATTATTACTCTGTTTCACAAATGAAGATGCTTTTCTCAATCCTAGGGAGTTTTGTTCAGGCCAAACAATGAGTAAACAACAGAGGCAGGATTTTACTCTAATTCATATGAATCATAGGTTCATGATCTGAATACTATAGTCTATCTATTATTCATACTCTGAAATAATGATTTCTCTAGTTAATCTCAAGGTGATCACAAATTGATACAGAATGTTGACATTTTCCATAAAATTACGGAAATGGGAGTGCATGTTTCAGCTCTTGGTTGCTTAAATGACTCACAAGTCAAGTAGAAGTGTAGTAGAATAGTATATTTAGGTGCTGACAATATAAAAGAAAACACATTTCAGGGTTTGCCAGATGACCGAATGCCTTCTTGAAATACATACATAAATAAAAACCTGATACTAGAAAAGCTGGAAAGTAAGGCCAGAGTTTTTGAGCACCAGAAGTATTCAGTAAGGTCCTAGAGAATGGGAAAACCAAAAATAGCAGTGCGGATTCCTACTGGAAATGAGAAGAGAGCAGAGAGCAGCAGACATGAACACCTGAAGCAAGACAGATGAAAGTCTCTGACCATGCATTCTGAGTGCTTGCTTGGTGTCTCCTGGCACATGCAACTGGGCTGGGAATGGAAAGCTAAATGAGGCAAATGACCTCCAGCATTTCTAGCTTTCACAAATCATCAGGAAGCAAAGACAAACATGAGCCAATTGATAATTCTCCAAAGCACACACATTTGGCTACAGTGTTGGTGGGTCCTTCAGT